GCGGAATGGAAAAGCTGGAGAGGTGGGGTATGGGGGATTGTTACTCTGAGGATGGGCGGCCGAGTAAACTTAAGAGTCGCGGACGCCGCAGACGTGTAGTATTATAAGGTTTCGGTTAGGTGCACGTTACATGAGAAAAGATGAATTTATCTTCCTCAAACCGATTATAAGGAATTGGTTTCATCGAAGTCTAGTATAACTGCTATGTTGTTCTCACCTCTTGAAACTTTTTCCGCTCATCTTCTGGAATAAGGAGAGAACTTACTGAGGGCTGCTCACGAACCACATTTGAAGCGTCTAGTGCCACTGATCCTTGTGTAGGTTGAGGTCAAGGTCCAGCATTGAATTCCAGGGTATGATCTACGCATGCACAACAACTGATGATCTCAAATATCTCCCATCAATGACTCTGCATATAGAGGTTCTTGTTGTTTTTGCATGATGTTTGTTATTCTTTGGATGATGAGTGGGCTAGCTCATCATGCTATTTAGTCGTACCATGCATCTTGATTGTAGCCCGATTGGTTGGTAATAAGAAATCCTGGTAATAAGAGTTGGCCATCAGGTTAGTATGATACTCTTTGAAGAGGGTCTTCAAAGGCAAGTACTAGACGTTGAGTGGGCCGGCTGACCCAGACTCAACGTCTGAGCCGGGCTCGGAGTGGAATGATGTTCTTCTATGTATAATTGTGTATTATATGTACATACCAACACAGTGTCATTTTTTTTTGCTGAATGTATCACATAATTGAATTTTAAGAATACTCAAACAACAGAATGAATTTGATCTTACATACACCATACGAATTACACAGTGAGTATCAAGAAATTGTCACATAAAATAGGACCAGTGCTACAAGTACAGTCCCACTAAGCATCACAATTTGCATTTTACGCAATGCAATTATCAGCAATCTCTAGCACTAACAGATTAATTGGTCTGCACACATTGTTCATTTGAACAACGAGTTTCTAGGAAATGTTTGCCTAAAGTTCCAACCTTGGCACAACGCTGTTGTACATAAGCTTTTGACCACCAGTGTTTTTTAGTCTAAAGGAAAGTATCATGCAAGTGAAGCTCGCCAATGGGTGCAAGCTGGCGCCCCAGTTGCATGCCATCGGCGTCTAGTCGTCGAAATCAGAGCTCTTGACATCGTGGGCATCATTGAACGTTGAGTTGGCTGGTCTATCAGGTTATTATAGTGGCAGCCACCTTGTAGACCTATCGGTTGGTAATAAGAACTGATAATTACGTTTGAATTGAGGAGGAGGGTTGAGCTAGAATTACAAAAAGAATACTTATTGGTACAAGGTCTTCTATAAAACTTCAACTTATAAAATAGGTTCAGAAAGGACTTGAACAATAAAATTTTGCATCAACAATTTGCATTATTCAAACCACATTAATAAATAATCCAAGACAAGCGATTCTTTTGTTTTTCTCCTCAAGTCTTTAGTTCATTTCTCAACAAAACAACTGTATATGTTGTGTAGCAGTACATAATTTCTCGTTTATACATGGATATTTTTTATGTTCTTCTATGCAAATGGCATACCACTATGTAGATATCAAGACAATGACATAATCTGTTTACAAAATGCTTCATATAATTGAATTTGAAGAATATGAAATCAATAAAATTAATTGGATCTATATACACCTAACAAATTACACAAATGAGTATATACAAATTGAATGGAACATTAGACTAGTGCAATAAGTAGCATACACATTAAGCACCATAACTTCCATTTGATCGCAATGAAGTGTAAATATTACAAATCCATCACTTGCCCTGGTAAATTAATTGGTCAACAGACATTGCTCACTAGAATTACAATTTGCTAACAAATGATTGCCCAAAGTTCCATCCCTTTGGCACAACGTTGTTGAATACAAGCGTGTGTCTATCAGTGTTGGTTAGTCGGAAGGAGAGCATCTTGTCGGTGAGGTTCGCCGACGAGTGCCAGTTAGCGCCCCAATTGCGTGCCATAGGCATCCAGTCATCTGAATCAGAGGTATTGACATCCATGGACTTGACTGAGCCTGCTGCAGCAATGTTGCTCACAAGCACAAGATTGAAGTAATTGTGACCATTGATTTTAAACCCCACGGCACCCTGCTTAACGCACGGAACTCCGTATGTGTATGGCAATGGCATAGAAAAAAGTTAAAGTTATATGTGGCTCTGGTGACTAATTTTTGAAGTTATAATAGGCATATATATACCTCTCGTACATGACGGGGATGATGCCACCTCTATAAACACCGATCTTCTCCCACGCCGGCTGGGTCATGTTGAAGTGTGGCCGTGGCGGGTTGCACCCGCCTCCGTTGTCATTCGGGAGGGCGTCATTTGGCGGGCAGACGTTCGTGGCAGTGACAGTCATTGTCACATTGGGCTTGCAAAACAACTGGTCCACTCGCTTCCGGTCGCATGCGATCTTGTACCACTGCCTGCACGCGGCACTGCCATTGAACATCACGATGCTCAAAGCCACCGTGCGTGTCCCATGTTCTTCAGAGAATAGGTTGCCGTACCCTCATGCGCCACCTGCAATACATGGTGCACATCGCTAGTGTTAGTGCAGAGAAGAACAAGATAAACCGGGCATGCACGCACTAGATTGATGTAGAGGCATGAGTTGAATGAATAGTTGAGTAC